TGGATGCATGTTGGTTGTATGTTGGATGTATGTTGGATGTATGATAGATGTATGTTGGTTGTATGTTGGATGCATGTTGGATGTATGATGGATGTATGTTGGTTGTATGTTGGATGCATGTTGGATGTATGATGGATGTATAATGGATGTATGATGGATGTATGTTGGTTGCATGTGGGATGTATGATGGATGCATGTTGGACGGTACGTTTGCAGAAGGTCCCGTTCCCTTCGTATCCGGCCACACAGAGGCAGGCAGCAGCTGAGCCCTGAGGTCCGGTGATACAGCTGCAGAACAAACTCAGCATCAGTTCTGATTTGACAAACTACAGTCATGAACATAGTAAGGTCTGTGTTTATCGTTCGGTCTGAGCGTCAGCGACACGTAGAACTCATTCAGTCACTGAGACAATCCTTCACAAACTTATGAAACATCTGCTGGGTTAGCAGCACAGAAACATCAGGTGTTTATATCTTCAGCAGGTCTAAATACAGGAGATTCTGCAGCCACACATTGTGGAAGAATAAATAAAAACTAAGAACAGCTTACCATTCGTCATCCTTAATATACCTAAAATAAGGACATTTCCTGCTGATTCAAATACAGTAACCTCATTGTATGTTGTTTTAAATGTGTTTGTTTTTATGCCTGTCAAAGAAGAATTTCTGTCACTTGTGACAGACAATAAAGTTTATCTTATCTTATCTTATCTTATAATTTTATGGTCAAACTTATTAAGAGACGAATTAGTATTTTACATGTAAATTACAACGTAAAGCTAAAATCTGCATAATAACTCTTAAAGTTGCTCCTAAAAACCTGTTTAAAAGTTTAATATGATCAAGTTTTGCTTCAACGATTCAGAATAAAGTCACGACTCGACAGAAAAACACCTGAAAACCCAACAAACCAGAATCCTGTGAAGAACTTTGTCTGTTATTTCCTGTTTTGCTGGTTTCCTGTCTTACACAGCAGCAGGACTCACTTTGCGTTCTCGTCACAAATTCCTCCACAGGCGTCGTCTTTGATCTCTGAGGACAGGTGAGGACAGGTGAGGACAGGTGAGGACAGGGGAGGTCAGGTGAGGTCGGGTGAATCAGAACACAGCGTGCTCACATGTGTGTTTGTGTTTTTTGTGTCTCACCTGAAGAACACGAAGGTCCCTTCCAGCCTTTGTAACACACACACCTGCCGCTGCCCGTCAGACCGTCCTCACACTTCCCGTGGTTGCACACACACTCTGTAACACACAAGTAACGCGGCGTTAGCGTCAACAGGCAGCGTCGCACTAGCTAAAGCCTCGTGACGTTGTGTTGTGGTTGGACTGTTTGGGCTTTGTGCGTCTGCAGCTTCACACAACTGCTAGCTTTTATTAGCTTCATGTGAATTCAGTCCTACTAAACCACATACATGCCGACTGGTTCTAAACCGTATCAGCTAACAGGAGCTAACACTTTAGCTCCTCTCCTCTTCTTTGACCCTCTAAAAGCAGCAGACAGCCGGCCATGTGTGCAGTATTTCACCTGACCAGGACCACCACAGTGGATGCATGGTCCTGACAGTGAAGCATGGAGGTGGCAGCATCATGATGTGGGGCTGCATGAGGGCAGAAGGTGTTGATGACGTTTCTAGAAGCTCCATGAATGTCTGAGGATAAATCAGGATACTGGCTGACCAGATGAAGAAGAGGAACATTCCAGCAGGAGAACATCCAGAGAACATCATCATCAAGAGCTTCTACACCAGAACCAAGTGGACCTGCAGGGTGACCGTGAGGTGCAGCAGGTCCTGGTGACGCCTCCTGCTGGTGGAATACAACACGGCAGACAGAAGTTGTGTTTGTGTTGCTCACTGGAGGAACAGTTGACTCCGTATCGACCCGGCTCACAGTCCTCGCAGGCGGTGCCATGGAAACCCTCGTAGCAACGGCACTCCCCGTTGCCATGGTTGCCGTCCTGACACTCGCCGTGATTGGAGCACCAGCTGCCGACGTCTCCGGGGCACTTGAAGCACTCGTGACCGTAGAAGCCAGGACAGCAGGAGTGATCCTGCAGAGACACCAGTGCTGTTAGCTTTAGACGCGACGTCAACGACTTCACAGCAAGATTACAAACATGGGAGGAATCATCGGAGTTTCCCTTTTCTGATGGAAAACGTACCAAATCTAAACCTAAAATCATGACGTTTAGTGAATACTGTTGTTGTTCTAGTCCCATTTAAAGATGCTCCCAAAGTCAACAGTTTGTTCCTCACAGAACAAAACCACCTGGAACCACTACAGCCGTCACAGCCATGACACTGGGATTCATTTAAACAAAGTCTGAGTTATCTTGGACAGACTCTGCGGTTCAGAGTGAAGATGGAGGCTGATGATGGGTCTCATGACCACAAGATTGATATTTGTATTCTGTTCTTTTGGACTCAGTTCATGTGACCAAAGCTCAGACGATGATTCCTCCCAGTTCAGAGCCACAAGTCGAGACAAGTGCAGCGGATCATCAGACCGTGGTCATCCGGAGACACTTGATGACGCAGCCCGGCATCGACTTCCTCTTGGTTCCGACCCGCTTCCTGTATCTGCAGTTGGAGCGCATGTTGGCTGGAAACTGTTGTCTGATCTGCAGCAGAACCGAGGAGAACCACAGCAGGAACAGAGAGGCTGAAACACTGAACGTTATCGACCAGAGAATCAGCAGAACGGATCCATTCATCAGAAACAGTGACACATGAAACAGTCTTTGGATCTTTAACCACGCGACATGTTTTTCTGTCTGAATAAGAACCAGATTGGACCTTAAAACTGTGGCATTTGAACAGAATCGCTTCATTCTACATGTGTTCAAAACAAGAACTTTTCAGAGCAGGTGTTTTTGAGACGTTCCTACCGGTTTGTAGCTGAAGAGGCATCGAGGAGGTCCATCACAGTCCGCACACCGACCCTGGACACACAGAATTCACCTTTCTGTTCAGGTTAAGCTTTTAGAACCACAGCAGCAGAACCACTGATCCGGGTCAGGGTTACATACATCTATCATGATCTCATCATTCATACTCTGACTCGTCCGTCTCCTGCCAGGTATCAGATTCAGTGTTTGGTTTCTATGATTTACTGGATCTCAGGTCATAAATAGACACAAGATGATTTAAAATGAATGTCTGGTTCTGGACGTCTTTGATGGTTGTTGTTGTGTCATCGCTTCACTATATAACTGCTGCAGGTTTGCTGAGTTCTAAGTTCTTGTTCTGCTTCATCCAAATATGAATTATACGACAGAAAGAACTGAAGTAGAAGATTCATCCATCCATCCATCCAACATCCACCCATCCATCCATCATCCAACATCCATCCATCCAACATCCATCCATCCATCCATCCATCCATCCATCCATCCATCCATCCAACATCCACCCATCCATCCATCATCCAACATCCATCCATCCAACATCCATCCATCCATCCATTCATCCATCCATCATCCAACATCCATCCATCCATTCGTTCATCCATACATTCACACTCAGAAACATGAAGGCGTTAACTGGAACGGTTCTTTTTAGCTCCACTAAGAACCTTTAAGAAGAACTTTAAAGAACTTCTCTACAGAAACATCATCAGTGTTTTTTTCTTTTTGACTCGTCTGAAACAACATTTGAGTCACTTTCGTCTCGTGTCCATTCAGATGTTGTTTTTTTGTAATTTTGGACTTTTTTAAAAGAATTTTTGGACAATTTTGAGTAATTTCAGACAAATCTTGACCAATTTTGTCAATTTCTTTGTAATTCTGGGCAATTTTGAGTCACTTTGAACTTTTTTTTTTTTTTTTGTCATTTTGGACAACGGTCAATAACTTCAGTCATTTGTCATTCTGAATCTATTTTGATAACTGAACTTGATAATAATTTCAAAATAATCCTAAAGAACCTTTATTACTTTGAAGAACCATCCCCTAAATCAAGAGGTTCTTCGGTTTGTGTCGGAGCTTCAAAGCGTCTTCTGGAGAACATCGGTGTTTGCTTACACTGACTTGCAGGGCGACCGGTTTGCTGCATCGGTTGCGTCGGACTTGGAGGAGCTGCGGGAGGAAGATGATGACGCCATACTGCGTCTCCATGAAGCCTCCGTCCAGAGGAACGTCGTTCACCACCGTCTGCAGAACCAGAGAACCACCAGTCACTCTTCACTCTGCTGAAACTGGACCGCTAGAACACCAGCTGCCTCTTCAGTTTCATGCCGAAGACTTCACTGTCGAGTGAGCTTTACTTTTCCTGTTAGTCAGGTATCGTACTGACTGATGTTCTACTAGACGCTGCATTTTTTCTCATGTTACGTAGTTTAGTTATCTGAGAGACATCTGGCAGAGGAAAGTCCTTCAGGGTTCATAAAGTTTTATCTTATCTTCTAAAGTACAATCTTGTTTCTCGTAAAGTACCAAAAATGAAAAGTTCCCTTTGAAAGGAGCACTGATGAACACAAATGACTGCACAGCTTCTCCACCGGGTTTCGATGCAAACGGACAGTTAAACATCAAACAAAAGGCGGTTATGGTTCTGTTGTTCCGATGACCCGCACTGTGTTTCCTGCCGAGCCTGGAAGAGGCTCGGCAGCTGATCGGACCCACCGGGCCCAGTGGGTCTCTGACTGGAGCACCAGCAGCAGGTCCTTTGGAGCTGGTCCGGTTGTTTGGTGCGCTGTCGGCTGCAGGTACCTGGTTTTGGTGGTCCAGGTGGAACTGGACCTGGTAGTCAGCGCCCAGCAGAGTGCTCTTCAGCATCCCGTCGGCCAGGTGGTCCACAAACAGCAGCTCATTGGGAACCAGGTGGTACTGAAACACATCCGAGTCCTGTACAGAACCCAGAGCAGACATCATGTTTTTATTTTCACTCTCAAAAAAAAAACAACACAGTTTTCATGGTTCAGCGTCTCCAGAACTAAAACTCCAACAGCCATGAAATGTTCTGAAGACTCCGACATAACAGTTCTATCAGAACCACTGGATGGATCCAACAGGACACAGTGTCATTATTGATCCCACAAAGTTCCTGACTGTCTACCTATGGATGGATCCATGGTTCTGTTGAGGCTCTAACAGTAGAACCTGATGTGGTGAAGTTGGACCAGACAAAGTTCCGTTTTTAAACATGTTTACATGTCACAACGCCAACACAAGTCCATTTGGACCATGTTTAGGTAACTTTGGACAACTTTCGAGTCATTTTAAACAAATTTTTAAACATTTTAGACAGATTTTGATTCATTTTGGACAAATTCAGTTTAACTTTTAACCACTTTGAGTCCTTTTGGGCCATTTCTGAGTTGGCTTGGACACATTCTGAATCATTTTGGAGATTTATTTTGCATTGTGAGAAATTTGGAGTATCAAACCAGGCTGGTGCTGATCCAGAAAGTTCCTGTCAGTGTCTGTCCATGGATGGATCCATGGTTCTACGAGGATCCAATCTTTGGTCACATTTCACCAGCTGTTGAGGCTTTAACATCAGTAGAACCTGATGAGGTGAAGTTGGACCAGACAAGGTTCTGGTTTTACATGTTTTGACATCTGAAAGTGCCATCTGGTCTGATTTCATCACTTATTTTGAAGAATTTTTGGTTCATTTTGGATTAATTTTGCCTCAATTTGGCTCATCTTTGAGTCACTTTTGACCAATTTTGTGTCATTTTGGACAAATCCATGGTTCTGACTGAGTCCTGCTGACAGAAGGCATCTCTGAGTTCTCTCTCCTCCTTCATGTGGTTCTGGTTCCACAGAGCTTCAGGACTTTATGTTGAAACATGAACCTCAGTGAAGGAGCAGGAGACTGGAGCTGCTGTAACTGAGGTGGATGTGGACCTACCAGGACAGAGGAGTTGGTTCTGTCCAGGTGTTTCCTCACAGCTGCATCTGAGGGCAGCAGCAGGGTGAAGGGGGACGTGCCCAGCTGATCCGACAGGTTGTACATCTGGGTCAGAACACAGTTTGAGTCAGAACAGGAAGACCTGCAGAACCATGAGGCTGGACTCAGACTTACTGCAGCAAACTGTCTGAACAGGCTGAAGTTAGAGGATGAGTTCAGGAAGGACATGAGGACGGGTGGCTCAGGAGGGATGTCCGCCCGGGACGGAACCAGGACCTAAAGAGACGGAAACACAGGTGGTGTTTATTCACAGGGAAAGCTTCGTTTATTCAGATGTTTGGTCATGAATTCATGTGTTGGGATGAGGTTGAAGCACCCGGTCGATGACGTGGATGTAGCCGTTGAGCGCCGGCAGGTTGTGGCTGGTGATGGAGGCGTTTCCGATCCGGATCCCCTGCAACAGAACCACAGGTGACCAGAACAGGTGAGCGTCTGCGGACTGAATCGGGTCACACAGGTAATAAAGTAACATTTACTGAGGTTAAAGAACTTTTCTGGGTTTTTTGCCGTTAAATGCAAAACTCACAAATCGGTTTTTGTTTTTTTGTTTTTTAAATTAGCTGAGAATCAAACATTTCTTTTGTTTCTGAGAAGAACCTGATCCGGTGAACAGACGCCACCGAGACGGAGGATTCCTGCATCACTTCCTGATTTCATGCTCGTTCAGGAAACACCGACAGACGGATTCTAAAAGCATCTTTTCTCAGTTGTTTTAAAACCACAGCGAGTGCAATGAGACCAGCCAGAAGCTGCTGCTTGGAGAGCAGAGGCTACAGTCACTTGACCACAGAACGATGCCGCCTGTTGATCTTACAGCTGAATAAATGATTGAAAACAGTCATTTTCCTTCAGATGTCTGACTCTTAAATGCTTCAATGTGTCAGACACGGTTCCTGTTGGACCTCCTGGATGTTCTCACCCTGCTGCTGTTGGTCACCTCCCACTGGGTCGAAGGGTTCATGGTGTCCAGTCTGTGGCCCACCAGCCGGTCCAGGTCCTCCACAGAGAAGATCCCCGGCAGGTAGTGAGACCTGAGACCAGGAGAGGAACCGGAGAACCAAACATCTGTCAGCATCACGCCAGAGCATCATCCACAGCCGGAAGTGAACATCAGACTCCTGCTCCTCTGAGGTTTGTTCACTTTAAAGGCCCACGTCTGACCTGTGGCTCACAGCAAAACGAACCAGACAGAGCAGAAGGTCTGTACCTGTAGGAACCTTCTGAACCCGCGAACCTGCCGGCTGGTGTCTAAGTGTGTTATCCTCAAGAAGCAACAACATCACACCATTTATCAGCCAGAAATGGTAAAAAATTTTTTTAAAAAAACTCTTCTGGTAGATTAATGGGAGCAACTGGACCTGCTTGGGTTCCTTGATTACGTTCCACCTCTCATCCAAGAGGCTTCATCAGCTCTGACTGACTAGTTGGGAGTTCCACATACTGATATCCTGAAGGAGACATTAACACCTGAGTTTGGGTTTCAATTGGGGGTTTGTTGCTCCTCCCCTCGTTATGTGAGTCGTTAGTGCTCCCCCTGACACAGCGGGGTTCGTTAGGGTCTCTGTGGCTCGGTGTGGATGTGGGTTCATCTTCCTGGAAAGAAATCAGACTGCTGAAGCTTATAGGGAATCCAAATGTTTTGGATTGTTGGGTGTTTCTGTTTCTGCCTTTGTTAAGCGCTATGAGATGACTTGTTGTTGTAAATATGCGCTATACAAATAAAATTGAATTGAATTGAATTGAATTGAATTGAATTGAATTGAATTGAATTAATGTCTCCTTCAGGATATCAGTATCTGGAACTCCCAACTAGTCAGTCAGAGCTGATGAAGCCTCTTGGATGGAGGTGGAACGTCTTCAAGGAACTCAAGCAGGTCCAGCTGCTATCATTAATCCACCAGAACAACCAGGACCTGGAGAACCAGGACCTGCAGGACTGAGAATCTTCACAGACTCCCTAACCGTCGGTCCAGTCGTCCGATGGGACTTTGGTGTCGTCAGGAAAAACAACCAAATCTGAGCTGAAAAATCTGGACGTTTCATCAAAATCCTTTTACTCTGCATTTAACAAATAAGTTCTGAGTCCGTTGGTGCTGGAACCAACAGCCGTGTCTTTTATTAACTGAACGCTATGTGAGACCTAAACTTCACTTTCTTTGTTCGTTGATTTAAAAATGAACTCGAGTTCACGGCTTTGGTTCCTAAATGAAAACAGGCCTGTGGAGGAGCAGCCGGTCTCGTTTGTCTGTTCGACGCTGATGTTTGAGAGCGTGTGATTGGCTGACCGCAGGAAGTGAGGCACGTGGTGCCGGCTGGTCCAGAACGTGTAATCGGCAGAACTCATGTTCCTCACAGCTTCTCTGGATGGAACCAGCACTGTGACGTTCCCAGTCAGGTCCTCGGGAAGGTGGCTGAACGTCTGCCGGGACAGAAACACAACCGACGTCAGCTCCAGCAGCAGGTTGGTTCGGTTCTGAACGTTTGGACACGCCACACCGTGATACCAGGACAGTGAATTAGATGACAGTGTGTTTACGACTCACCTGAGTGAGCCGGTAGAAGCTGTAGAACTCTGTGTTCATGTCCAACTCCTGTACAACACAAACACATGAACACGAGATCACCAGAATGACTCCATTTATCAAAACACAGACTCAGAGTCGTCGGCTGTCCCACGGTCCCTGAACTTATCACGCTGCTTTCACTTCCATCTGGAAAATTAACCAGATCAGATTCAGAGTTTCAGGTAAACTGCAGCCAGTGTTTCCTCAGAGAGACTGAAGGAGAATCCAACCTACTGGATCAATGAATAGATGCAGCATGGATCAGAACCAGAGAACAGAGGAGCCAGTTGGTGGAGATACATTCAGCTGATGGTGGAACATCTTTCTACATCTGA